ATACATGGAAAACCCAACAGACTCCACCAAAAGTCTGCTAGAACATACCTGAACTCAGCAAAGTCACAGGATACAAAATCAATGTACAGAAATCAGTTGCATTCTTACACACTAATAATGAAGCAAAAAAGACAAAGAAACTGATCCCATTCACAATTGCACCAAGAATCATAAAATACCTAGGAATAAACCTAACCAAAGATGTAAAAGATCTGTATGCTGAACATTTTAGAAAGCTTATGAAGGAAATTGAAGACGATATATAGAAATGGAAAAACATTCTGTGCTCATTGATTGGAAGAATAAATATTGTTAAAATGTCAATACTACACAAAACTATCTACACATTCAATGCAATCCCAATCAAAATTGCACCAGCATTCTTGAAGCTACAACAAGCAATCCTAAAATTTGTATGGAACCACAAAAGACCACGAATAAACAAAGTAATATTGAAGAAGACCAAAGCGGGAGGCACCACAATCCCAGACTTTAGCCTCTAGTACAAAGCTGTAATCATCAAGACAGCATGGTATTGGCACAAAAACAGACACATAGACCAATGGAATAGAATAGAGACTCCAGAATTAGACCCACAAAAGTATAGCCAACTAATCTTTGACAAAGCAGGAAAAAATATCCAATGGAAAAAAGACAGTCTCTAACAAATGGTGCAGGGAGAACTGGACAGCAACATGCAGAAGAATGAAACTAGACCACTTTCTTACACTATTCACAAAAATAAATTCAAAATGGATAAAGGACCTGAATGTGAGACAAGAAACCATCAAAACCCTAGAGGAGAAAGCAGGAAAAAACCTCTCTGACCTTAGCTGCAGCAATTATTTACTTGACACATCCCCAAAGGCAAGGGAATTAAAAACAAAAATGAACTATTGGGACCTCATGAAGATAAAAAGCTTCTGCACTGCAAAGGAAATAATCAACAAACTAAGAGGCAACCAACGGAATGGGAAAAGATATCTGCAAATGTCATATTGGACAAAGGGCTAGTATACAAAATCTATAAAGAATTCCCCAAACTCAACACCCGAAAAACAAATAATCCAGTCGCTCCTGGATGCTCTGGACAAACAAAAGACGCTCAATGTCGCTCCTCATCAGGGAAATACAAATCAAAACCACACTGAGATACCACCTCACGCCAGTCAGAGTGGCCAAAGTGAACAAATCAGGAGACTATAGATACTGGTGAGGATGTGGAGAAACGGGAACCCTCTTGCACTGTTGGTGGGAATGCAAACTGGTACAGCCACTCTGGCAAAAAGTGTGGAGGTTCCTCAAAAAATTAAAAATGGATCTACGCTATAACCCAGCAATAGCACTGCTAGGAATTTACCCAAGGGATACAGGAGTGCTGATGCATAGGGGCACTTGTACCCCAATGTTTAGAGCATCACTTTCAACAATAGCCAAATTATGGAAAGAGCCTAAATGTCCATCAACTGATTAATGGATAAAGAAATTGTGGTTTATATACACAATGGAATACTACATGGCAATGAGAAAGAATGAAATATGGCCTTTTCTAGCAACATGCATGGAGAGTGTTATGCTAAGTGAAATCAGTCATACAGAGAAAGACAGATACCATATGTTTTCACTCTTATGTGGATCCTGAGAAACTTAACAGAAGACCATGGGGGAGGGGAAGGAATAAATAAAGGTTAGAGAGGGAGGGAGCCAAACCATAAGAGACTTAAGAACTGAGAACAAACTGAGAGTTGATGGGGGTGAGAGGGAGGGGACAGTGGGTGATGGGTACTGAGGAGGGCACCTGTTGGGATGAGCACTGTGTGTTGTATGGAAACCAATTTGACAATAAATTTCATGTTAAAAAAAAATTAAAAAAAAAAAGAAGAAATTCACTTTCAGAGCACACCTATCAACTTACCTGGAGTGTTCTTGCCATTGTCACTACTTCATGGTCTGGAGGATTGTACTTGTAGCAATTCATGAACATTAATCTAACATCTGCCGCAAATTCATATGCATCTTTATATTCTTGGTTGTCCATTTTTCCCTAAATTAAGGAAAAATTACAGGCTTCACAAACAACATAGTTCAAAAATTATTTGAGCACCTACATTACAAAATAGTTCAAATAACAGAAGAATATAGACAATACCAGAAACAGATACCCACCCTCCAAATTTGACATATGTAAAAATTCTGCTATATTTGTTTTGGTATTTTTTGACTTTGAAAATATCCAATGAATTTTGACAAGCAGAGATAAGGAAGGAGGACATTCCAAGTAAAAACAAAAACAAAAACAAAAACAAAAAGCAGAAACAAAATCACAAAAGCAGGAAAACAGTGCATTTCCAGGTAATCTTGGATAGACAAGTTTGATCCTAGGAAAGTGGTGAAAAGATGAATTCCTTAAATGAACCCTGAACATCTAAATGAAGGTTTTTACTAAAATTCTCCTAAAAATGAAGACGTAAAAAATTGAACAGAATTGGCAAAAGGAAGGAAATAATAAAGATCAAAGCTGAAATAAATGAAAGACAAAAACAAAAACAAACAAACAAAAATTACAGGTCAATATCCCTGATGAATATAGATGCAAAAATCCTTAACGAAAGATTAGCAAAATTCATTCACCATGAGCAAATGGGATTTACTCCAGGAATTCAAGGATGATTCAATAATCTTATACAACATGTGAACAAAATGAAGGATAAAAACCATATGGCCATCTCAATAAATGCAGAAAAAAATTGACAAACTTCAACATCTTTTCATGATAAAACTCTCAACAAAGTGGGCTTAAAGAGAACATACCTCAACATAATAAAGACCATATATGAAAAACCCAGTTAACACCATACTCAATGTGAAAAACTTAAAGCTTTCCATTTAAGACCACGAAGACAAGAATGTCCATTCTCACCACTTTTACTCAATATAGTACTGAAAATCCTAACCACAGTAACTAGACAAGAAAAAGTAAAAGGCACTCAAAGTGGTACAGAATAAAATATTTTAGGAATATTTCTGATACTTCTCAAACTTACAGGGCTTAAATTATAATAACTTCATTATGTGTTCAAATACACTTAAACATTTTGTTTATAAAGAAAAATGTGGGAAGACAGTGATGTAGAAAGAACAAATATTGTTAGAAGGTCTATACTACCCAAAGCAATCTACACACTCAGTGCAATCCCTATCAAAATAACACCAACATTCTTCACAGAGCTAGAGCAAACAATCCTAAAATTTGTATGGAACCACAAAAGATCCCAAATAGCCAAAGTAATGTTGAAAAAGAAAACCAAATCGGGAGGCATCACAATCCCACACTTTAACCTGTATTACAAAGCTAGAATCATCAAGACAGTATGGTATCGGCACAAAAACAGACACACAGAACAATGGAATAGAGAACCCAGAAATGGACCCACAAATATATGGCCAACTAATCTTCAACAAAGCAGGAAAGAGTATCCAGTGGAAAGAAGACAGTCTCTTTAGCAAATGGTGCTGGGATAATTAGACAGCAACATGAAGAAGAATGAAACTGGACCACTTTCTTACACCATACACAAAAGTAAATTCAAAATGGATGAAAGATCTAAATGTGAGACAGGAAACCATCAAAATCGTATAGGAGAAAACAGGCAGCAACCTCTCTGACCTAGCCCACAGCAACTTCTTGCTTGATATGTCTCCAGAGGCAAGGAAAATAAAAGCAAAAATGAACTATTGGGACCTCATAAAGATAAAAGGCTTGTGCACAGCAAAGGAAAGTCAACAAAAAGTCTACTGATGGAATGGGAGAAGATATTTGCAAATGACATATCAGATAAAGGGTTAGTATCCAAATTGTACAAAGAACTTGCCAAACTCAACAGCCAAAAAACAAATAATCCAGTGAAGAAATGGGCAGAAGATATGAATAGACACTTTTCCAAAGAAGATAACCAGATGGCTAATAGACACATGAAAAGATTCTCAACCTCATCGATAGCACCACACACCAATCAGAATGGTTAAAATTAACAACTCAGGACACAACAGATATTGGTGAGGATGTGGAGAAAGGGGAACCCTTTTGCACTGTCGGTGGGAATACAAACTGGGGCAGCCACTCTGGAAAACTGTGGAGGTTCCTCAAAAAATTAAATATAGAACTACCCTATGACCCAGCAATAGCACTACTAGGAATTCATCTAAAAGATACAAAAATGCTGATTCAAAGGGGCAGATGCACCCACAATGTTTATAGCAGCACTATCAACAATACCCAAATTATGGAGAAAGCCCAAAATTCCATCAACTGATGGATTAAGAAGATATGGTCTCTCTCTCTCTCCACACACACACACACACACACACACACACACACACACACACACACACTGGAATACTACTCAGTGACGAAAAAGAATGAAATCTTGCCATTTGCAACAATGTGGATGGCACTGGAGGGTATTATGCTAAGCGAAATTAAGTCAGAGAAAGATATCATGATTTCACTCATATGTGGAATATGAGAAACAACAGACATAAGGGAAGGGAAGGAAAAATAAGATAAAAACACTGAGGGTTTCAAATTATAAGAGACTTACAAATACAGAACAAACTAAGGGCTGCTGGAGTGGGGTGGTGGGTTAAATGGGTGATGGACGTTAAGGAGGGCACTTTTTCAGGATGAGCGCTGGATATCATATGTAAGAGATGAATCACGGGGTTCTACTCCTGAAGCCAAGACTACACTCTTTGTTAACTAACTTGAAAAAAAAATTTACAACGACAAGAATACTTTTATAATTAAGAAAAGAAGTTCTTCCTATTAAGAAAACATTTACCTTAATAGTTCCAAGATCCATTGGATTTTTCACAATATCATAGTAGTTATGGAGCCCCAAAGCATTAACATCAACAGGATTATAAAAGGGCCACGCATAGGACAAGTGTTTCTTTGCAAGCATTTCTTTAAGAATCTCACTACAGTGCCTTAATTGTTCGGTCACTTCAACACTCTTTATGACTTTACATAGTTGCTGAGAATCCGGCAAAACAGTCTTCAGCACATTTTCTTTCATAGGTGGCATTTTCACTGATTTTTTTTCTGCAAGTGTTGGGGAAGATTCACCACTTGCTTTAACTACTGAAGTTGTAGGAGTCGTGGTATCTGCTTTCCTCTTCACACCCCTTGTAACCTGAAACAATTCAATAACAACAACTGTAATTAAAGTGACATTCACAGCAACAGTTTTCAAACTTTTTTGATGGTTACTCCTACAGTTAAAAAAAAAAACAAAAACAAAAAACAAAAAAAAAAGGAAAAAATTATCAGTACCATGTCGTCTATATATTAAATATTAGTAAAAGTTTTCTACAGGTAAATTAATAGCTCAAATATTTTCTTCCTACATCCCAAAGAATGGTCTTATGCAAACCTTTGAGATCAATGAGAGATGGGAAGCAATAAAAGTCACTGTTATGCAAAAACAAGTTCTGAATACCTGAAATCAGCTACGGTATACAATTTTAAATTATCAACCCATCAAGTTATGATTCAAAAGAAGTTACATAACACACACAAAATAGGTAGTTGGGCAACTGATACTAACATAAAAATATATAAGCCAGTTCAAATTCTACCTAAAAATCTCTAAAATTTGGTTCACATTCTAGATCTGTTAAAAAATGTACACAAAGATTGACTGTAGTATACTGAAGACCAATTTTCAGATCAACTTAAAAAAAGGTTTAGTCATTACAACAATCCCTTACACTGAAACATTTTAAAGTCATAGTAAACTTACTTGGGCCACTGTTTGTGAGGTAGTGTTGAATAGAGTACCTTGTGACATGTTTGAAGGAGAAATAGATGTCTTAGGAAATACAGAGGGAATCACTTGCTGCTTAAATACTTTGTCCAGTGCTTTTGGGGATTGTTTTTCTTTACCAGAAGGAACTGCTACATTATGTTGAATCCCTAGTAAAGTGTGAACCAGAGTAAATATGAGTAAAATATAAAACTATTTTTCTATTAGTATTCTATTTTAATTCACTAGTTCAGCTTTTTAGCAATATAAACACAGGAAACTCCCATTCTCCTTTGAAACCCTCCCACAGGTACTTGCTAACATTTGTTAGACCAATTTAGATATAATATTAGAGACTTCAAACCTGATATTAATGGAAGACTTATCAATTTTATTCAGAAAGGTGTCTGGCTTAAATTTACACTAATAGAGCTCTGTGAGTAGCTTCAGTAAATTTTAGACATCCTGGAGACAAACTACATAATACTATGTGAGGTCTCCAGAATGCTCTGCATAAATATCCAAGAACCTTAAAACTATGACAGAGCCCATCATTGGTTAACACAAAACAATAGATATGAACATAATCTTCTTATCAATATATCCTTCAGATGACTCTGCCGAAGGAACCACTGTGTATGGTCTTCTGCCTTGTATGTTCCCAGAGAACACCAACACTTAAGACATTTGGATCACATCGCTCTGAAATCTACTATTTCAAAAGTCCATCCTTGTATCCAGGTAACTCCATTCTTCAGACTATGAGACTAATGTGCTGCCCACTACACCAAGAGGGCTGCTACGGTAACTCCATTCTTCTAATCACTCGGGCCATAAACCTTGGAGTCATCTTTGACTCCACGGTCGTTCAAACCCAATATCCCCATCCATCAGCAAACTCTTTTGGCTCTATCTTCTTATCCAGAATCTGATTACAATTACAAGTGGTAATCACCCTGGTCCCAGGCATCAATTCTTAACTGGATTTCTACAGTAGTATCCTATGAGCCCTTCTTTCTTCTGCTTTTACATCCTGTAGTCTGTTCTCAAAATAGCCCTCGAAGTGATATTTTAAATTCAAATAAGATCATGACACTTCTGCTCAATGCCCAATGACTTCTAATCTTTTCTTTTCAAATAAAAGCCAAAGTCCCTACAATGCCTTGTAAGGACCCGTGTCATCTCTCTACCTATGCTCCTCCCCCACGTCCCCACCTCTGCCCTCCTCCCAACCGCACTTCCTATCACTCCACCCCTTCACTAATTTCACTTAGCCTACTGGCCTACTGTCCTCAAATTTGGTTAGCATAAGCAGACAATTCGCTCTGCCTGTAAGGAGATAGCCTCATCAGCTCACTCCAACATTCCCTTCATGCCTTTGCTGAAATGTTACCTTCTCAAGCCACCCTATATAGAACAACTTTCTCCTTCCACTCCCACCACTTTCTTGTTCTCTTCTTATTTTTTTCTTTGCCCTTATCACATTTGACATAGAATATATAGATATCCCCGACCCTCCAAATTCTTAACAAACTCAGGAACCAAATATTTTTGAATATATTTTAAGACAGGGCTGGTATTCCTCACTCTCTTATTTCTCATTACTCACTAACTAAAACTTAGGAACCAAAGAGACTGAGATAACCTCCTATCTTTTGATATTCCAACTGTGGCTCTTTGAACTCAGGAGCTAAACAGATAAGTATAATGAGAAATACTTACATTTACTTAGTGTTACCAATTTCCTCAACAAAAACAAAAAGCTCTGTGAGGGGAAAGGAACTTTGTTTTGATCTCTACAATATCCCTTGTGCCTAATACAGTACTTGGGACATAAGAGGACTCAATGGATATTTATTGTATGCTTATTATGTATCAGGCCACCATTCTAAGTGCTCAGGCACAATAATGAACAAGATAGAGAGTTTCTGTCCTTGTTGACCATATTGTCTAGTATAAGAAATAGAAAAAAAAAGTAATCAAATTGATTACAATTGATGCTAAGCACTAGAAAGGAAATAAATGGGAGTACTGACAAAAGACAGAGACCTACTATAAAGAAGATAGCCAAAGAAGTCTCTTTGAAGAGGTATCAATTCAGATGTTACTGGAAAGAAGTAACCAGCCAGAGAATGGGGTGGCAGTAAAACTGTATTCCAAGACAATCAGTAGGGAAAACTTCAATGAGTGAGATGAAAGTAGTTCAGGATGAGAATAGAGAAATGGGCAAAGATTTAATCCCAAAAGGCCACGGTAGGAATTTAGACTTCATTTAAAAAAAATTTTTTTTCAACGTTTTTATTTATTTTTGGGACAGAGAGAGACAGAGCATGAACGGGGGAGGGGCAGAGAGAGAGGGAGACACAGAATCGGAAACAGGCTCCAGGCTCCGAGCCATCAGCCCAGAGCCCGACGCGGGGCTCGAACTCACGGACCGCGAGATCGTGACCTGGCTGAAGTCGGACGCTTAACCGACTGCGCCACCCAGGCGCCCCAGACTTCATTTTAATATGAGAAGCTATAGAGGAGGTTTTAAGCAGGTTAATGATGTATTTTTATTTTTTGATGTATAGTTTATTTTTAAAAGACTGCTTTTGCAGGGCACCTGGGTGGCTCAATCAGTCAAGCGTCCGTCTCTTGGTTTCAACACAGGTCATGATCTCATGGCTCATGGGTTCAAGCCCCACATCAGACTCTGTGTTGATGGTGGAGCCTGTTTATGATTCTCTCTCCCCTCCTCTCTACTCCTCGCCTGCTCATGCTCTCTCTCTCAAAATAAATAAACTTAAAAATAAATAAAAATAAAAGACTACTTTTGCTATTGTGTAGAGAACACAGAACAATCAAGATCACAGGGGCTAAGAAGACTGTAGCCCAAGTTAGTATTATTGCAAAAACAATCTTAGGATTGAATTCAAATGATTACTAATGAACAGAAGGGGAGAAAGAATCAAAGAAGGAAGGAATCAAGAACAACTTCTATTCTGGCTTGAATAACTTTTTATTAGTACCATTTTCTGTTATACAGAATAACCTAAGAAATTCAGTGTTTAACTATAAGCAAGGTAAATGAGAGATGTGTATAAGACATCCAAGTGGAAATGTCCAGTGACTTGAAGATAATAATTGGTTTCTCAGGGAGGACTGTGTTAGAGATATAGATTTGAGGATTAATAGCATACAGATGGAATTTAGAAAAAGGATAACTAATATCAAGCCCTGAAAAGAAAACCCCAATACTTTAGAAATCGAATAGAAAAGAATAGGGGCACCAGGGTGGTTCAGTCAGTTAAGCGTCTGACTCTTTTTTTTTTTTTTTT